ACACACACACACACACACCAACCACACACTGATACTCTCTCACTCACTCACTCACACACACTATAACTCTCTCTCCCAGGTGGAGTATGTGTTCACTGATAAGACCGGCACTCTGACTGAGAACAACATGGAGTTCATTGAATGCTGTGTTGATGGGAACGTCTACATCCCGCACGCCATCTGCAATGGACAAATCCTCAGCGCTGCGTCCAGTATAGACATGATTGATTCCTCACCTGGAGGATACAGGAGAGTAAGTGTGTGTTTGTGTTTGTGTGTGTGTCTGTAGAGTAAGCAGGCCCCAAAATCCAGCCCGCGTTGAAACTAGGCTGCACCAAGAAAGGAAGGAAAGTTCACATTTCCAGGCAGAAAGACCATTAAAGTAATTTCCTCTGACGTTTACGTCCATTTGAAAGGTTTTTTGCGTTACCCTCTAGTATATCCAGTTCATAAAAACCTCAACATTTTCTCTGCAGCCACTGTTTGCTCTGTCTCACATGGAAGAAAAACTCAAAGAGACACAGAAAAAGTGATGAGCTAGCGATCCTGGCAGGGGCAACAGTGATTTGCTTAGATTTAATAGAAGAAAAGTTGTGGAGTCAGCATGAGCAGCAAAAGCCACCACAGATGACCAGAGAGGGAGAGATTCTGCAGCGTTTGCAGGGAAATGTAGTTCAAGCAGCAGTAACAATACGGCACCGCACTGTGGTCCTAAAGACAGCAAGGAACCTGAGGATTATAACCATATCACGATGACTGAATTCAACGATCCACCTTGGACATGAATGTAAATGTTGCCTGAACGAAATAATAATGAAAGTGTTTCTGGATTTTTTTGTCTGTAGGAACACGAGGATCTGTTTTTCCGGGCGCTGTGTCTGTGCCACACGGTCCAGGTGAAGGAGGAGGAGACGGTGGATGGCATCAAGAGAGGCATTCACCAGGGCAAGCCCACCTCCTTCTACATCTCCTCCTCACCGGATGAGGTGGCTCTGGTGGAGGGAATGAAGAGGTAAAGTCACTGATTCACCTAGAGAAGCATGTGGGCCACATATGTAGGACCTCTTACTCAGATCTACATCGATCTACAGTTTCATTATGGATCAAAAGTATTGTTACACTTCTCTGGTTTTAAAGTTGACATCTACGTCCTCTTTTTCATCCTGGGATAATTGTATTGTGTTTTTTTCAGTTTAGCATCTGTTACTCACTCATTTTCAAAACATTTTTCAACATGAGCTGCACAAGCTGCAAAGAGCACATTATTTAATCTATCTATCACAGACACACACAAACATATTTGGTTTTCAAGAACAAAAATGGTATTTGTGTATATTTACATATAAATCAGGGAAGTGAGATACGGTCACATGAGACATATTCAGGACGCATTTTAATACCAGATGTGATCAGACAAACTTGTCCACTAGTTATTGGATCTCTCAGGACGGATGTTAATCCCAGAACTCCTTTAATCCTTTCCGAGTGTGATGCAAATACTATTGCTACTCATGGAAACCTTCTATCTGACTTCACATTTCTTCTGCCTCTCTTGTTGCCAGGCTGGGTTACACCTATCTAAGACTGAAAGACAGCTACATGGAGATCCTCAACAAAGATGACGAGATTGAAAGGTTGGTTCATTGTGGTCACACCACAGGAGAGAAACGAGGAGTGAGTCAGTTGATGGATCTGTGTCTGTAGCTCAGCTGCCCGGAGGGAACCAGCCCTCGGATTGTGTTTCATGTTGGGAAGACGTTACTATAAAAACTACAACCACCAAACAGTGGGCAGAGTGAAAGGCAGCAGTGTTGCATCAGAGAGGCATTTTGTGCAAAGTGTCTGACGGTATAGGGAGTGTTATAATGTGACCATCCTCTCTGACCATCACTCTCTGCAGTGGCCTGTCAATAGTAAGTTATTTTAAGGAAGCGGTTGAGGGGGAGGGGTTGTATCCCGTTATGTAAAGACTGAGGAAGACTAAAGGCTCCAGATCATTATCACACTCACTCGTCTGTAAGGAATCTGCAGCAACCACGCTGAACTTAAATGATTCAAAACCTCACAGTTAATCTCAATCACATATAACCTCTGAGAAACTTTATTCAACTGCAGATAAATAATGAAGCTGTCCTTTGAAGTTAAAAACCCCTGTTGAAAATTCAAATCAATCAATATCTCATTACTTTGTGTTAGGATCCTCTTCTTCACATCAACACATTAGGTTCAGTGGAGCATGACCAGGATGCACTTAAAAATTTATAAATAGTGAAAACTGACCTCAAACGATGTCTTAGTATCAAGTCGACATATTTTAAAGTTTTTTTCAAAATAGTTGAATGGACATAAAATAAATAGGTTAAGAACAGAACACTGTCTCTGTCTCTCCTCCAGGTTTCAGCTGCTCCATGTCCTGAACTTCGACTCTGTCAGAAGGAGAATGAGCGTCATCGTCAAGTCAAGCTCAGGTAATATTTTTGGAAACAGAAATCAGTGTTTAATACACGTTATAAATCTTCCATCAGACACTAGAACAATGCGATTTGTCTGATTTTGTTTTTGTTTGTTGTCCGTGTGTTTGCGGACTCTCAGGAGAATACCTGCTCTTCTGTAAGGGTGCAGACTCGTCCATTTTTCCCCGGGTGGTGTCTGGGAAGGTGGAGCAAGTGAAAGCTCGGGTGGAGCAGAACGCTGTGGTAAGTGTGACCATTAGAAATTCAGAGTGGGTTTGATAAAACATCCCATCACTCAGTGATATTCTTCTTTGTTGAAGGACAATAATGTATATAATATAAAATAATTTCATAAATGTGATTTAATTTAAATTCAAAGCTAAATAAGCTAAGTATTTGTATTGTTCTACCTCCGCCAAGGCCCAACAGTCCCTTTAAATTCAAGCTGCACTAAATTACAAAACACACTCAGAGATTTCAGTTCTCTACATGTGCCTGTTTTTTTTCATCAAGATCCATGAATCATTCCCTGGGATATTGATGAAGCAGCAACATTTAATGGTTTCTTCCTTGACTCATACTGCGTCCTTTCACACAGTTTAATGGGAATCCATTTCGTAACTCTTGCATAATCCTGACTCTAACCAACAGACACGGATGAAAACATGACCTTCTTGGCGGAGGTAACAAACTCACTTGGGTTTACGTGACATCACACAAAACGTTTCTCTCTGTAATAACAGGAGGGGCTGCGGACTCTGTGCGTCGCCTACCGAAGGCTGTCAGAGTCAGAATACGAGGAGGCGTGTCATCACCTGAACGAAGCCAAGCTGGCCCTGCAGGACAGGGAGCAGAGGCTGGCGCAGGCATACGACATCATCGAAAGGGACTTTGTGCTTCTGGGTGCTACAGCAGTGGAGGACAGGTTCGTTACCGCGGAGATAGAGAGGAATTATGGGAGAGACTTCAAAGCACAGAGAAGATTAGATGCCGTTTTCAATGTGCTGACTCACGAGGCCAAAAATATATCTTTTATTTTATTCTTTTCTATCCTGTGGTACTAAATATTTTCTAACAACAACGTTATCTAACAAGGCAGACTTCAGTATTGACCCTAACTAATTTACAGTTTGACGTCCTGATAGATGAAGTGCTGATGAGCAGGGAGTGGGATTATCCTGCATTGATAAATTGTCACCAGTTGGTAATTGATGGAGGTTTTAACCCAGCCTACTGGAGGCTGACGCTCTGATCGACTTATTGACGTGCAGGCTCCAGGAGAAAGCTGCAGATACCATCGAGTCCCTGCACAAGGCCGGCATGAAGGTTTGGGTCCTGACTGGAGACAAGATGGAGACGGCGGCGGCTACCTGCTACGCCAGTAAACTGTTTCGTCGGAGCACGCAGATCCTGGAGCTGACAAAGAAACGCACAGAGGAGCAGAGTCTGCATGACGTTCTGTTCGAGCTGAACAGGACCGTCCTCAGACAACGCTCCATTTCTGGGTACGAGACAACAACATGGCGAATGCTGTGAATCCACAAATCACACAGTCACAATCTATATTCATTTAACTTCAAGACCGCAGACTCGTCTACAATTGATTTATCTTCTTCGTTCGTTGATATTTTCTTCCAGGTTGTCAGTCGACTGCATCGACTTTGGTCTGATCATCGACGGGGCCACTCTGTCTGCGGTTTTAAAGCCTAAACCGGAGAGCGCTGGCCACGGCAACTACAGAGAGATCTTTCTGGAGATCTGTCGCAACTGTAGCGCCGTGCTCTGCTGTCGCATGGCACCGCTGCAGAAAGCACAGGTGACTGAACGGCTCTTCCTTTTGCAGATGTTCTTCCTAAATGACAAACAGGCGTAATGATTAATTTTGGGTTTTTGTTTCTGCAGATTGTGAAGCTAATAAAAGCTTCCAAGGAGCATCCCATAACCCTCGCCATCGGAGACGGAGCCAACGATGTCAGCATGATCCTGGAAGCACATGTGGGCATTGGTGAGCTCCTTTCACTGCACTAATCAGTGGCTAATTTGCTAAATCATCCATTAATATATGAGAGACGCTTTTTCCATTGGAGCCAGAGTTGATTTTTAAAGCTTATTACACTGATGCATATTTAAAACAAACCGTTTTGCCAAGATTCTCTCAAATTTGGCACATTTTACAGAGTTGTATAAAATATTGCTTTCATTGTAATGGTAAATTTAATGGTTATAATTAAACAGCAATATTAAAATTAAATGATTATATATAATAAATAAGCTTTAAAAACAATCAATTGGATCTGATTTTTTTTAAAGGTTCGCTTTTATCAAATTTCACTGGCTCTTATTTGGGTTTTATATTTTTTTTAATTTAACAATCTCTTGTGTTCCCTCAGGCATCATGGGTAAAGAGGGCCGACAGGCAGCACGGAACAGTGACTATGCCATCCCGAAATTTAAACACCTAAAGAAGATGTTACTGGTCCATGGTCACTACTACTACATTCGAATTGCTGAGCTAGTTCAGTACTTCTTCTACAAGGTACCAGACAAATGCTTTGTGTACCCCAGTGGCTCACACCTTTTAATCACTTTATCGTAATTCCCAGTGAAACACTGAGTTACAAAGCGCCAGATTTCGCAGCTACTCTGACAGATTACTGGATTCGTGAATCCCCGGTGCAAAATTCTCTCCTGGATTCACGGGCGCAGTGATCAGTGTGGGCGGCTTCCACAGAAATCAGTGCCCTGCCAACTGATTCATATTTTCCTTTTTGGCAGGCCAGCTCTTTGCGGCCCACTCACCAGTCACTGAGCTTATAGCCCAATCTCTGCATAAACAGAAATGTGTAGATCGTAACATTTTTAGATTCTTTAAATCTCCTCACATGTTCTTGTCACAAGCTTATCTCTGACTCCTCTGGTTGTTTTTCTTCCAGAACGTTTGCTTCATCTTCCCTCAGTTCCTGTATCAGTTCTTCTGTGGCTTCTCCCAACAGGTAAGCAGTTGATACTGAGGTGGGGTTAGTAAGCAAGCACCCAATGTATGTATGTGGAGTGTTTACACATCCCCAGTGTTTTAGTTTATATCATGTCGCTGTTAATCTTAGTTTATGTTTATCATTTGTGTTATTTTTCGATTGGTCATGCACCATTAGTCTTTGAACACGTCCGTCCCTACAGACATCTCTATGACCCCCTCATTATGAGGGAGCATAGTAATTCCCTTAAAGCTCCTGGAGGGCGATTTCAGTGACTTTTGGTAAACACAAGGCATTCTGCAGGAAACTATGGAGAAAAACTCTTCAACCAGTTTGTCAAACATCAAATGTCCTTTTAGATGTTTAATGCTTTCTGTGTTTGTTGTGTTTGTGTCTTTGCAGCCCCTGTACGACACCGCCTATTTAACTTTGTACAACATCAGCTTCACCTCCCTCCCAATCCTCCTCTACAGCCTGGTTGAGCAGCACGTCACCATGGAGACACTCAAGAGGGAGCCCTCCTTGTACAGGTGAGGTCGAGACAAAATGTCCGTTGTTGCGCTGGTAAAAAATATTGTTTGACTGTTATAACTTTCTTTTCTGCCCCTCTGTCTCAGGGACATAGCCAAGAACTCCCTCCTCCGCTGGCCTGTCTTCCTGTACTGGACGTGCCTGGGTGTGTTCGACGCCGTTATCTTCTTCTTTGGTGCCTACTTCCTGTTTGACAACACCACCTTCACCAGCAACGGCCAGGTGAGCCTCGGCCTCTGTGTCAGCAGACAGAGACTTTTGTCATTTTTTTAGTAGAAACACAGTTTTGTGGGGCGTTTGAATCCTTCAGGGAAATTAAAGGAGGATATTGGATAAAAAAGAAAACGTCTTTACGAACACTCATTCATCTCCATTGGATTCTCATGAAAGAGGAGTTAAGTTTTACGGGTTGACTCTTCGTCGTGTTTTTACTGTAGCAGTAACAGTTCTGTTCTGGGGCGTCCCTGTAGGTCAGCAACATTGGATCCATTCATATCGACAACGCAATAGCATCTTTCTCTGTATTGTTAATTTCATGTCAACTGTTTTCAATTGCCTTTGGTCCTGTTTTTTAAGTTGAAACATCCTGAAATTCATTTTACCCTTTGTCCTGATTCTTTTTCTCTTTTTCTCCCCCCCTCCTCTTCTTCTTCTCTCTGCTTCCTCTCTCTTTATTTTGCTCCTCCTCCTCCTCCTCTTCTTCTTCTTCTTCTGCGTCCTCAGCTTATGACCACCAACACACAGATGGTAAGCCCTGTCTCCCTCCCTGTCAGCTCTCTCTGTCTTTCACGCTCTTTTAGTTCCTGTCGTACCGTTTAAGCTTTCAGTTTGACCGTTTCATCCAGTTTCATCCCTCCTCACTTCACATCATCCATGCACTTTCATTTGAATGTGTAGTTTTCTCGTGCTCCATTATTCCCCCTAATCCCTGTAAAGCCCTGAATCCTGCTCAGTACCTGATCGTAACAACTCCACTGACTCAGTAGAAACCTTAGATGCTCCCCCACATTATTCCTGTGTTTGTTAGTAAATAGAGTTTGTAACGTAGATTACATCTGTTTGTGTTTCTGTCTAAGGTGTGTGTGTGTGTGTGTGTGTGTGTGTGT